ATTGAACATCACAGCTTGTGATGGTATCCCATTGATTTTCTGTTCTCTATGTATGAGTGCTATTGTACACCTCTCTACAATTAAAATGTGAAAAGGTGTGTATATATATATATATATATGAATATATATATATGTTGTAGCAGGTGACACAATGAGCTGCAGAAATATGTTTCTGCAGCTGAAAATCTGTCTTAAATATACTTGCAAAGTTTCCTTTGTGTGCTCATAAAAGACAAGCTTGCTAACCTATAATAGTGATTGAGTGCATGTAGTACTGTGTTTATATAGGTGTAAGAAAGATTTAGAACCAAGGCCAATACAAACAGAAAATCATTTATATCACAGGTTGTGTTTAAATTCTACAATCCCTTCCTGCTTCAATCCCCTGAAAATTCCAGTGTATTTCCTGCATCTGTCCATCCTCAATTGCTTATTATGAAATCAAATCCTAAGCTGCATCTATATTGGAGGAAAAAAAAGAAATAAAAAGAAAAAAAAAAAAAGAAAGATGATTTGGGAGATACTAACATCCAGTAAGGAAATCAGCTTCCTATAAATAACAAGCTCCATTAATTTTAATAAATACATGGTTATTGTTCAGATGATTTTTTTTGCAGAAAAAAAAATCTTCTCTTTCAAAATGAAATACGAAGAAGTGCAAAAATGCTAATTTTCTAAGAAAAAACATTTGTATTCCAAATTAATATTTTGAAATGAGAGATCATTTCTGTGTTGTTTTACACTGTTGCTGTTTTGTGGTTTTGTTTTTGTTTTTGTTTTGTTTTGTTTTTTTTTAAATAAAAAAAATTATGTTGAGGAGTTGGTTCAAAACAACAGATGAAAAGTATTCATATAAGTAATTTCTTCATTTCTGAGAAAACTTTTTGGTTTAAGCTAAAAATGAATTTAAAATAATGGCTTTTAAATAACGGCACTTTCGTGAGACAAAATTTCCTTTCTCCAAAAGTTGTTCTTAAAAGCATGGTGAAAGACATTAAAATGAGTCTATTATTTTAATATGCTTTCAAACTTCTTAAAACTCAGTTTTTGGTGACAATGTTTCCAGTGACTGCAGTATCTGTTTGTTTAATCTTGAGTTAATCTATTTTCCATGCATAGAAGATGAGGCAGGTTATAGAGAACAGCATAAACATTATCACCCATGCAAAAATAACTTCTTGCCTTGTCAATATAAACTCAGTTATCAGCAACAGTGTTATTCTTGGTATCCAGATTCTTCCTATTGTCACCAGATGGCAGCCTCGACATATTCCAGTGAAACACAGCTTTGTGACGTGAAGAGTGGACTTTGAGAACAGTTGCTTTTTGAGATGATTTTTTTTCTATATACTCTCCTGTGAATTTCTCCATCTCAGTGGTCTGCACTCATCTCTAGCACAACCTCAGGTCAGCTTCCTTTGACTGCAGTGTTTTAAATTGACAAGTCTACCACTTCATACCTGAAAGACTGATGTCTGAGTCAACTATGATTTGGTGTGTTTCTTTGGTCCAAGTAAAGGCCAAGGACAGAGAATTCACTATGTAAATCCTGGAATACTTACTTGGGAGTACGAATCTTCTTCTGTGCTCACATACATTTGAGTAAACAAAGATTTGGCATGCAACAAGTAGCATCGTCCCAAATTCCCTTTATTGGATCATCTTCTCTTCTGTTGTCTGGCACAAGATGAGGAAACTCATCTTGTCCCTTTCAACCTAAGCCATTCTATGATACTAAGCCATGGTGCATTACACTTCCCATTGAGATGTACATAAGCTACAAAACAGCACTGGGAAATCAGAGTTGGTTGATTCAAAGCTAAACAGTGACAGCACGGTGTAACAAACGGCACGATGCATTCAGAAAATGCAGGATTTAAGTCTGCCAGTCTGTTATATCTGGTGCATAAATGATAACAACAATTAAAAAAAAAAATAGTGAAAAGATGAAGGTTGGAGAAAATAAATGCATGAGGCCCAGGACTGTTTTTTAAGCAGTACGTATAAAGATGATCAAGCACAGTGAGCAGAGCTGAGATTGCACTGTGGCTGTAACAGGTCTACTTTTCACTGGGAAAAAGAGCAGCCAGCCCAGGGGCAGAGGAAGCGTAGCAGGGGGTAGGAACTGAGTGCTGTGCTAATGTGCCTACACTATAGGATGGCACCATCATCACTCGTAAATGATAGTCACACATGCAAGGATTGCAGGACAGCACTCTTAACTATCTCCTTCTGTGCAAGTTTTCCCCAGTTTTACACAAACATGCCAATATATTCGAATCAATATAGTGTTAAGCATTTACTTAATGGCTTACGTTTCAAAAGAGAGGTATCCAACAGCTTTCTTGTAATCAGTGAAAAACTTTAAAAATTCATTTCTTTAAAAATTTGTTAGTTTAATATCCATGGGTTAAGAGATCTTGTTCCGACCATTTAAAAACAAAGAAAACATTAGTTACTGCAGCAGTGCTCCTATGCTCTGCTAACATACCACCATCATATTACTCCCCAAAAGAGAGTATGATATGTCAAAAATGAAATTAGCCACTCAAACACTAACAAACTTTCTAGAAGAAGTAAGAAACGCTAGTTTTTCAAGCTAGTTACATAACACCAAGAAAAAAATCTATCCTCTGGTCAGCATACCAAACAACATAGCAAAATTCTGGGGTTTTCTGGCACCACAAACCATGGCATTTGATCCACCTTTCATTTATCAAGTATTTAAGGGAAGAGATTTATGCCACTCCAATCCCCTTAGCCCTTTCAATTATCAGACAGAAGCACACAGCTTGGGGCACATAGCACAAGCATGCGAGATGGGAAGGATTTGTAAAGCCCCAGCTAAGCAGTCACCTTTGTCAAAACACCGTTGATTCACTAAGATCCAAGATGTGCCCACAGGATCTTCATTTTAAAATTTCTCATCCTGATGAGCTCTTCATAGCCATGCACATTTTTTCTAGTCCAAAAATATACACACAAATCAATTTCAAATGCTGTAAGTATACCAGATCGTCAACCCTGGTTCTAGTGAATCAACCCAAATTAACATCTTCTGAGTTAAAGATTATTCCTAGACACTTAGGGGTGTTGTATTTGAGATAGCTAATTGTAAGATCAGAAACCTGTAATGAGCTCCAGATACTCACCCAGATGGTACTCCACAAATACTGACTCAATTTTCATTCTCATTTCCTTCCCTTTTAATAAGATGTTCCTATAATTAAACCAGCCTAAGGCTTGGTTCAGTGGGTAATAACTCATGCTGAGATTCATTGAGAGCCTAAAGCTAACTATACTTAGATATGAATAATATACAGTTATTTTCCCCCTGCTGCTTTTACTGCTGTATGCTTTGACTTGTTCAAAATGCGTAAGAGAACACAGCGCTTGTGAAGCCAACAACATAGTCTTCTAACAAAGAAAGCCCTTTCCCCCCAACCACCTCCACAAGCCTGTGGTCAGCCCACAACATTACCCAGGCAAGTTGGGCTTCACAGCAGAGGTGGTCCTCATTGAAACTTGCACAGACCCTGAAGGTGCTGCTACATCCAGAAAATAGACGAATCCTCCAAGCTTGTACATATTGAGCTAGCTTTAAGCATACAAATACTACATTTCTGCATTTTAAGTCAAACACAAGCACACACGTTTGCAAAGGTGAGGCTCTAATTGGAGTTTTCAGCCAGCTGTGCACAATTTAGGAAGAGGGCTCATTAGTTGGCATGGAAACCAGTTTTACACATAAGCCACCCAAAGAGTATGCAGAACTCTCACTAGTGAAATCTTAAGAACATAAAATGGTTTATGGCAACTTTTTACCCATTTTCTCAGTCCCCAATAACCAGGGCTCAGATTCCATATAAGACAAACTAGGAGTATCTCTAAATGAAGAAACTTTAAGGATACCACAATTCCTCTGACTTACTGTGCCCTTCTTCCTCAAAATATTCCTTAAAATCCCTTGGTTCCCTGTTTCTGCAAAGAGGTCTTACGGTCTGGAGTCTGTTTACAAAAATACTCGGGTAACCCTGAAACCTGGCTAATCACCCAGGCATCATGGCACGCAGACAAACAGCGGGCCAGACATTGATCACAACAACCAAACTGCAATTTCTGCAATCAAAAATCTCACAAGAAAAATCTAGCTGATATGTCAGGAGGCTATGAGTGGAGATACAAATATGGATGTTATTCAGTAGTTTTTATTGCTGAGGACTTCGTATTCTTAAATCCTTATGCAGCTGTTGATACTGTAATATGTTTATTATCAGTTGATCATACACAGTTGAGGTCAACCCATGGCATTTATAAACAGTCTTTGTTTAGTCTTAGGTTTTATCTTAGTATAAAAGTGAACAATTGATAAGCAGAATGAGAAAAAATGGCCACACAAAGGACAGACTTCTAAAAATCAAGCTGCTGGATGCTTTAATCTGGTTTGGATACCAGGGCTTCAGAGAGTTCCGAGTACTTTTAAAGCTTAAAGCAGAAGAAGTGCACATGTGCCTGTGCACTGGGAAGCCACAGTGCCTGCCCACTTGAGCCTGGGATTAAGCATGCAAATTGATCCCGACCCTCTGTCATCGGTACTCAGAGCTCAGCTACAACTGGTCTTGCCACACACAGTAGTTGTGGGTTCATGCCACCTCTTCTAAAGATAGCAAGTATGGCCAAGGAGTCTTTGTTCTTGTTTCAGGCTCATTAGATGAGTGATGACAGCTTATAGTAGGGGTCCCTCATGACCAGACAACAAGCTAGGCCCCCAACTGCTGCTGTCCACTACAACTGCAGTTGAATTTAGCCAGCTGTTGTAACAACCAGTGCAACACAAGAAACAGACCTCCCTGCTCTCAGGTTTAATGAGTTGGGTGCACTTTCTACAAGTTTCCCTGCAAGATCCCACTCAACCATGAGGCTTTGTGCTGCTGCAGAAGCATACTGCTATATCATCTCGCTTCTTGTTGTTGGCCTCCCCCTAGGCAGAAACACCTTTCTTGTCTTTCGGCCTGCTGAGTCTGAACTGAAGCAAACATTCCCATTGAAGAAGAAGGAAGATAGCTCTCCTCACCCTGTTGTTTCTCTCTGAACCGACTGTTCAAAATTGTACTCTTTATTTTAAGAAAGGTGGTGGGTGAAATGTAATCGCTGGGATTTTGTTTACACAGCCTGCTTTATACGTAACAGAGGTTCAGTAGTGATGTACATCCAGAGTTCATTTTCCAAAGAAGCAGTGGATTATGTGTTTTGTTCACTGCTATGAGTAAACTGGTTATTGGACTGATAGAGCCAGGCTCAGAGAGAATCACAAAGAAAGTAACTCTGGAAAATTCTGAGGAGTGACCATACTTGTAAAAAAAAAACTATGTAATTCATGAAAGTTGGTTTTGGTGCTCTCACTCTGTGTGTATGAGATCCTTCAAGTTCTTTGCACAAGGACACATGATAGAGTTTTGCAATGTTCCTCTGAAAATAAAGACATTAGATTTTTGTGCCAATGCAACTTAGAAGATGAAGGATTAATTGAAGTTAATCCAACAGAAAAAGGTTGCTGTAAAGAATTAAAAGTATTTATTTTAATTGACCCTTCCTTTGAAGAAAATTAAGACTCCATGTATTCTTTTTTTTTTTAAGAAAGGTGTTCTCAGCCCCAGTAGTCTGATTAAAATTGTTTTCTTTGAACCTCTTCTTTGCAATCAGATTTAATGGATATAATCTGAAGAAGATTTGAAAGCTCCATTCTCTCTCTCTTGTTTTAAATCACCGCTTTGCACTAACCCCAATACTTTGATACTCTTTTCACAGCCAACTTCACAGTAGAGTTGTAAAGTATATTGGCACACATAAATGATTGGGCTGTAGTATAAAGTCTTCAGGAGAAAGAAAACCCTGTAGACTTTGTTATTTGTCAACGTGTCAATAAAATGATAAATACTGTATCTCTTCAATTTGCCTATGGTAGGCAAAAATATGTACCTACCACTCAGCACACAGTCCTACTTTCCAAAATCATTCTAGCAGTTAAAGCTAGAAAAAGACTCCTTAGCCAATTTCTCCCTTGCAAAAACTTCTCATAACTTGTGGGAAATACTTTATTTCTGTTTTCTATTACAGGTGTTTTGATTCATTGCTCTAAAGATTTTCAAGTGAAACATCACTCATTATTTGATGCAGATGAAGGCAAGGCAGACAGACAGGTACAGGGTACAGTTTGGGAATATGAGGAGGCCTTTGTGGTTCTCTAAGTGACATTTTAATATAAATTGCCATAATAAGAATGCTGTATTGAGATGTTGCAACTGCTTTCTTGTTTCAGCTATTTGCTTTCAGCTCTCATCTAGACAAGGATCTTCCTCATTTTAGAAATATTTGTAATGATGCACCTAGTGCCAGGAATCACTGAACAAAGTTCATCGATTTAAAAAAGAAGAGACTTCTTATAAGGAACTCCACCACAAATGCATGAGGCAGTGACAGATTTGTTGTCTTAATTGCTCTGAGTTAATAAATTCTGAGTAATGTGACACTTTGTAAAATTACTAATTGTTAGTATTTTTTTCTTAGTTGTGATAGTACTTTCATCTTCCAATAGAAAGTTATTCAGTGATTATTTCAAGCCTTGATTTCATTTTAATGGCCTTCTCAGCCACGCTGCTTTCTCATAAAGATGACCTGATATGTTGGTTGTCATTGTTTAGCACAAATATTAAAACATGCCACTTCGTCACATGCTAGGGAATTCTGACTCTAGTGTAGTTACAGCAGCTTTTCTATTTACCTCAATAGCTCAAAATTTACTTCACTTGCCTTGAGCTTCTTTGCATTCCTCATATCTTCATACAGACACAATAAGATATTTCATCTTGGGTCTGAAGTTCATACTGAGTTCAAAAAAGGAATTAATTCAACTTTAATCCTAGGTCTAATGCTAGCAGAAAGCAGTATTTTTTATGAACAATTCATTGCTATGATATCAAGCAGGTTAAAACACACAGTTTCTAGAACGTCAGTAGATATTTGCACTTGGAGCATCAGGGAACTCTCCGTGCTTCTGACTTTGACTTGAGATCTGAAAAAATAAAGAATATTCGTAATATTCATCCTTTCCTGTAAAAAATTTGTCATGTGTGGCAATTACTCCTACATCTACTTTACTCAATGTGCAAAAAGATCTCAGCTTTAAAACCAGCTCTGTAGGACAGTGTTTTCCTTACAGTTTTTACTGAGGCTTTATTTAACTGTGTAATTATTCAAAGTCTGATGCATAATCCTCATGCATTTTTATGGTGCTTGTCATTACAACAGCTATGTGCAACACAGACATGAATATGTATATATTTACAAAATCTTTATGAGCAGATAAATCATGTTATCTTTTACATTTATCTATCATTACATTTATCTATCACTACATTTATCTATTTATCATTATCTACATTTTACGCCTTAATGCTGAGACAGGGAGGTCAATACCAGTAATGTTCACTGACTTTAGGTATCAGCTTGAAGCCCTTCAGATCTGTTTTTGTAGACAATAAGTCCTATGTAGCACATATTTTCAAGTGAAATGCCAGTTATCTTATTTACTCCCGTATGTGCTTTGTTTTTCCACTGAACTCAATAATACAAATGCAGCACCAGATCATGAAAAATGGAAGTTTTAGCACTACACAAGAAAAATAAGATGAAAATAGCTAGCCAGCCTTACCTAGGGAGATCAGGGCAGTGCCAGGTATGGAACGGCCAGTTCCACCAAGGGGCATTATGCCCAGAGACCTATGGTCTAAAAAGAAAATACAGACAGTGATAGAAGGAAAGCAGGAAAGCATATTTTCCTTTTTCTTTTTTTTTCTTTTTTTTTTTTTTTTGGTAGAGATTAAAACAAAATCATAGGCAAATATGGGAATTTTTCTAAAGCACATACTATGCATCATTTAGCTATGATCACTCAGGTGGTCTACGTGAAATGTAGGTACAGCATTCAGTGATTAAACTGGCTTAAGTATAGGGTGTAGGCACAAGCTTGCTTTGCTGAACAGCTGAAATGGAGATGCTATCACTTCATACAAAGGCCAAACTACTTTTTGGAAGTGATTCCAAACAAATTGTGTAACAAGAGACAGGCAAATACCTTGCAAAAATGTTGTTTGATTTGCACTTACACTGAATTGTACTGCCTACTGTGAGCTACAGCTGAGAGGTGACAGTAGAAAGATTTTTGGCTTCTTCTGTCAGATGTAGAAGAGAGAGCTCAGATCCGAAGTCCAGTTCCTAAGATCATTCTTCCCTTGAAAGTAAAAAGCTGGTATTCATATGTGAGTACAATCTAGAGTAATTATCAAAGTGATAAGATGCAATCATGAGCATGACAGTTATTCAGAAAGGAATAATTTCAAGTTATTTATCACTTTCATTCACTAAAAACTTCATTCTGAAGCAGCAGGAGAAGAAGCAAACACTGTCTGGCATCGTTACTCATTTCCCTCAATTATCCTAGTGTGCTGAATTAAACCCCCAAAACTAACAAGAAACTGTTTCCCAGAAAACAGTCTCAGACTAGCAAGTTTTTTCAGCATTATTTGCATTACTGTTTATCTCATGTGAGCTGATGAAAGTCCCAAGGATTTACCTCTGACAAAAAGAGGGGGACAAACACACATGAGTGCCCAGCAGCTCAGCTCAGCTGTGGTGAGGCTGCCAAAGGAGATAATTCTGCCAAGCGAAATGGCTTCCAGGCTGTGCACTTCTGTGTCAAAATGACATTAGTATATTTTGACATAAGTGCTGTCTTTTATCAGGGATAAGCTTCAAAGCCACAGAGATGGGAAATCAGAGTTTGACAGAAAAAATACAGGTTGACAGAAAAACACGAAGAGAATTTGTTAAACCCAGTGCTCCAAGAGCCTATTCATTCAAGGACCAAACTTAAAGCAAAAGATGTTTTACTGTTGCATGACCACGATGGTTTTGGCATAGTAAATTAATAAACTTCCTCTGCAGAGAAATGTAAAAAGCCTTGTGCCTGCTCTAGTGACTAGAGCTGCCTACTCGCTGCCTTGCTGATCACAGGAAGAGGAAAATGTATCTTCATTTGCCAAAGTTATCACAAAGGTTTCGTAGCTGTTTGGCTAGTGACACAGAATTTCCATTAAATTGCATAGGCCAAAAGCTTTACTGAATGGGGTTAAAAGTTTCTGACTTCACATCAACAAAACTTCCTGCTGGAGTGATTGTTATGTCCAACAAGGTAGGTCGTTTCCCTCCTGTGTATTTTTCCTCATCTTATCTCTGGTGACTCCAAAAGCACATAGGATTCACAGAAGCTAAAACTAAAACAACAACCTACATCCGGTCAATCAGGTCATCTCTGATCTTTCGGTCAGTCCCCTTTGACAGCCACACAGTCAATAAAATTGCCTGGGGATGATGCCAGCAAGTTGAATTCCCTCTTCCCTTTCCCTTGAAGCTCAGCAGAAGACAGGAAGAACATTTTCATCTTCTTAGCCAGATTTCAGCACTCGAAGAAGGATTGTACTTCCAATTATAAGTGGCATTGCTTCTTGTGACAGCTGTCTGTTAGCATGATTGATGTCTGCCCATCTCTGTTTGAGTTCAGAAGCTTCTGCAGCGCACACAAGAAGATCAAAGACTTCTATCTAAATCCCTTACCTCAAAATATTTACTCACTGTCATCTGGAGAGATAGGGAGAAGTCATGGCCTCAACATCTGACAACTCACTTGTGACGCCTTCTAATGGGTCCCATTTGCCATTAATGTCACCAATGATATAATTTGGATATCACAAAGAATACATTACAGAGGTTTCCAGAAAGGGGTAACTAGATCTAGTTCTGTCTGGATAAGGCAGAAGACACACAGCTGGGAAAGAGGAATCACTAGTAAAACGATACAGAACATAAACTCTGGAGATAAATAGTCGTGAAGACTTTTTGATTCAGCTAGGATTTCCAGACTTTAAGCCTAGATATATCTGCACAGATCTCATGCTCAGGTTATTGCTTAAGGCAGTATAGTACAAAATGATAAAGTCATTTTAGCCATGTAATGCCGAAGAAAACATTCTGTCATCTTGTTTGGCAATCTAATCATACGTGTGCAATACCGTTTCTCATCTAAGCCACCTATTGCTCATGGAAAGGATATCAACCTGCCTGTTGCTCCCAGTACATTTTGTAGAGCTTTGATTTCTGTACTCTGGCCAAAGTGTGGTATTGTTCAGGTCCTTTGTCTTGCCATTAATGTTCTTCTGTTATGGTTTTCTCTGTTGGGTCAATGAGATTAGATTTCATTAGCACAGCAAACTGAAAAAAATACAAGTTATTAGATAATCATTAAAGCACATCTGTTGCCTTTTTCAGAGTGCCAAAGTCTGAATTCCACTGAACTAGTGACATGGCACTTGACCAGCGCTTAGTTCAGCTATGGTCAATGAGCTGCAAAAAGATTAAAATATTAGCAGCCAGTTGATTCAACCTAATCCCTGGCAGTTTTGTTTAGACTGCAAAGAAAGGTGCCTAGAGCAAAAGTGAATGAAACAATTGCAGTAAGAAAATGCTAACATTTTTGAGTCTGTTCCACTGAATTTGCTATACTGGTACTTGACATGGGTGTTGTGCCAAGGCATCAGCTCCTCAGGCACTCTAAATACACTTTCATGCATATCCATGCTGAATTGGTTCAAAAGTTCCTGAGAATTTCTCAGCTTGAAAGTCTGGCTGCTAGACAATGGAATCAGGTATTCGTCCCCCATCTGCACACCCAAAATGAACAGAAATCTGAGCTATGAATGAATATAAAGTCTCAAATGCCAGCTTCTTGTTTCTTTTCAAAAATTCTTCTGAAATATCCTGTGGCAAATATGTTAGATCATGTTTCTTTCCTTTTTTCTTTTTTTTTATTTAAAGAGAAGTTGTATGTGTTCCTAAGTTTATCTAAATATATGGAGGAATATTTACAAATAATCAATAATTAATTTTTAAACACTTTCAATCATCTCTGTTGTCCTTCTCTTCATGACTATTTTCAACAGTGCTGCAACATTCCCTCATATCATATCTCTTCACTCATTAATCCCAATAAATTGTTGCTCACAACGTTTCTCTGTATTGTACTCCCAGAATTCGCCCTCTCACATGTTACTCACCTGGGTTATCAGTAATAAACAAGATAATTATGATAAGCTGTCGAATCTGTGACAGGTGGTGAAAGGCAAATGCAAGATAAATCCTACAATCTGAAGTTTATAATTGATGAATAGCCGCTTTTGTTTTTTTTTTTTTTTTCCAATAATTCTGTTTATAATACATTTACCTTCTTTCTATTCCTGACCTATCTGATATAATTTCTGTTTCAGTGAGCAGGTGATTAGCAATATGACTGCTCCTCTTTAACAAGGAAAAGAGGCATGTCTTAGAGAGCCTAGAGACTGGGTAATTCATGTACCAGCTACAGCAATTAAGGAATAACAATCATGTAACTCTGAACTCCTTACCTACACAAAAGGTTATCTCTTTTGTTCACTTTTCCTATAGTAGTTTTCCAACCTTGGAAAAAAGGTTATTTCCAGACTTGTAACTTCTGCTGCACGTCACCAAATGGTTTGTACTATTTAGGCTGTTGCCTTGTGCTCAAAAATAGTCATTGTTTATATGTGATTGATTTAATATTTCCAGTTTAACTAAATGTTGGACCTGAAGAACAGCCTACATTCTTCATTTTATTACTTGGCTATAGAAGACAGTATGTGATATCTAAAGAGTCTGTACTGATAAATTACACTTGTTAACAGCAGCTACACGTCCCCTTGGGATATTTTCTGGGTTCCAGAGCAGTTAAGGAATTCTAAATAATTTGCTGTGAGGGTTCTTCTGGAAACAAACAAAACTTTTCCCTGCCTTTTGAAAAGAAGATATGCATAATCATGAACACAGGATTAGGACATACATCCTAGATGCATGAAGCCTAGCTTTAGGTTTTGTATGCTTTTAAGAGGGCTCAAACCCACATCTCTGACTTCCATGTATGGTACTCTAGCTACCAAGACAAAAAGATGAAACTGCAACATTATTCAAGGAAAAATTCAAAATTCACAGGGTGAGATCTTACGTCTTCTGATAGCAAATAATGATTCAGGATCTCACCTAGAGTGTGAGAAATTTGGATTTTTGTGTATGCTCTACCATGTATTTTACACGGGGCCTGGTTAATGTAAAGTAAGCAAAGGAAGAGACAGGTTTCAAGGCTCTACGGCTCTGCTTTTTTACATCTACTTACCAGAAAAAAAAAATAATGCAAATGCAATCTCCCTAGGCTGGTAATTGTTAAGATCTTTTTAGCAGAATATAACCATGTTAGCAAAAAACAGAGAGCACAACAGACAAAATTACAGCTGTTAGGGCAGCCCTCAGAAAAAAAAAAAGAAGAAAAAAAAAAGAAGTGAAAAATATATATAGTCCAGCTTTTCTGTTCACTTAGCTTTCTTTCCGTCCGAAATAGTCATTGTGCTACAGTGAGAATGGTTCTTCCAAAGGCCTGCACAACTGATCTCAGACTCTTTACACATATTTATTATAACTGGGAAATGTAAACCTTGAGTTAGGCAGCCAATGAACTGATGAATGGATGTTACAGCTATAAAATGGGGTTGGGGCCAAAGAGTGATGTGATCAGGCAACTCTGTCCAGCAGAATGGTGCCCTATGGAGTGCTGGTTTCTCAAAGCGGGTTGGAGAGAAACCTAAGCCTGTTTTCACCTGTGACTGGAGCCCTTTTTTTTTTTTTTTTTTTTTTTTTTTTTTTTTTTTCCCCATGCATTTCTTTCTTCCTAGATTCTCATATATCAAGAATGCAGAATTCCAACAATGCCTACTGGTTTTGTATCATATCTGCAGATCCTGCAATTTCTTACAAGTGATGTTAACAGAACACATTCTTAGATTTGAATAACCTTAATTTTAACTGTTTAATTCAGGATTGTTTCCCAATGTTAGAAGCAGTAATTCTAAGTAGTCTGGAGATGGCACAGGTCCAGTTCATACCTTTTATACAGATTTATGGCAGATAATCAGTTTTAAAAACAAGCAAAAATTAGCAGACTATGAGTTTTTGACAACAAGTAATTCACTCCACCCATATTATTAACTGGACATCTTGTGTATACATATGAACAAATTTTGTTAATCAAACAGTTCTGTGCTGTTAAGTTCAACAAACTATTTATCCTCCTTGTTCTCCAACACCGCCCTGAGCTGCTATTAGTATATAAATCACTTCAGTTTTCCTGAGAAACGTCCAGTTCCTGTGACTCATAACACCACCTACTGGACAATTATGACCAAAATGTGACTAAAAATGTTCTTAATCAGTGCATTGGCCCATGTACGCCAATACACGCACCTGCTTTGGTCACAGTCTAACATGAATTCCTCCAGTGATGTTATGAACGGGTATTTTTTTTAGTGTCAGTGAACAAATACCTGTCAGAATCGAGAACATAAATTCTTCTCTTGCGACTTAGGCCTGGGGAATATTTGCAGCACAAAGATAGAAAATAATAAAATAATGATTCATTTCTGGTATTTATAAAAAGCAGCAGCCTGATGCTCCTTCAGCTAAGCCCTGTGTTTTAGTGTATGATTTTATTCCTATCAGCTAAAATCACGGCTTCTCCTTACTTCAGTCAGTGGGAAGTATCTAGGAGAAAAGTATGGCTTGTTCTAGCCTTTGGAAAATACCACCATGTTTAAAGGTAACCAGACAATTTGTTCTTTACCTCCCAGAAACACTTCAAAGTGCTTGGGAAAATGCTGCTGGATAAAGATGGATACCTACTGAGTGCAATCATAGCTCAACATACTCTTCACTTCCTTTGCATTATATGTGTTGTACGCCCTGAGATCACATGGGAACACATGGGAATTGCTCGGGCATTGATTAGGAGTATATCCCCTGAACTTCCTCTAGCAAGTAGATAAATGTTTGTCAATCAGATGAGACAGTATGTATAAAGAGACATTAGGGGGACTTACAGACTCATTTCCTTGTCTTAAACAGTTACTATGATAATCTGAGCACTCTAACCAAAAGTGATGAGGTGCCGTCTGCTAATAGATTTCAACACACATTGTTCTTGAGTCTCAGTAGGTCTTTCACAGACCATGTGTTGAACCATTAGAGCTCAATGATTTGCAGTGGTAAGTGCAACCTGTTGCTTTTAATGTGCTACGGTATTACAAATCACACTTCAGAAAATCTCAGCACAGCAAATTAAGTGCTGTATATTCTGGGACATTAAACTGCTCTTTTATTTTCCCACTATTTACAGTTAAAAAATTAGATAGAATTACATATTTATTTCTGTATGTAAAATAACACTAAAAGAGAATAAATTATTTGATCTTCATTTTCAGAAAAAAAAATTCTCATTTTGGACAATTCATTTGTCTGAATCTAAGATACTGTGGAGATTATTTTGACAGATGATGAATATATGAGCTCCCAAACCTCTTCAGTAGTAGCAGAATGAGATAAGTCCAATAAAAATGGTAGACCACTCTTAAAACGTGCTATTACAAAAGGAAGAGATATTTGTTTCAGTCATATGATAAAACCAAAGTCTGCATACTCAAAACACGAATCTGAATTGAAATAAGGTTACTCACTGTTTGACCAGAAGTTATCTGTATTTTTTTCTTAGTGTAAAAGATTTTCCTCTTTCCTCTTGGCAATGCTCAGAATACTGTAGGCCTAACATTTATGGCAAAGAGTTATGTTTATTGCTTAGGATGAATAACATACTTTAGATAAAGACATGCAAATCTTTTAATTCTAATACCTTTGGCTAAGGACCAGGAATTAATTATGTTAACCTCAAGGATAATTAAAAATTAAAAAAAAAAAAAAAAAAAAAAAAAAACAACAAAAAGCCTTAATCCGAACTTTGGAAAATTCCACAGAACATGTCCTTCTTTTCAACTCCCCCCCCCCAATAAATACTATTGACAAATCTCAAGAAATCCAGGTTTTCCTGTATGGGTACTTGAAAGGAATTTTTAATAACAAAAACTGTAGAATTCTTTTCTTATCTCTAAACTAATCAAGTAGAACAAATTAATGGAGTAAGATCTGAGTATGTATTACTCACTGGAAGATACTGTACCAGACAGTTCATGGCTCCTGAAATACTTATCAAGCTTTTATTATGTTATTGCTACTAACTGAAGTGGTAAACAGATCACATGATTTAAGAAAAAATCCCATGGTGTAAACCAGAAAATATTGGATAAAGTTAGAAGTATGTGTACCCTAGTCTTGGCCCATTTAGGTCAAAGACAAAAGATCCTGCTGATTTCAACAGCCTTACTTAGGCCTTAGAAGTATTTCACTAAAGTCACTGTGCCTGATAAAGCTCCAGGTTTATTTCCAGTCATACTGCGATATCAGCAATTGGAGCAAGGTACTGCTGTGTTTTGGCACTCTTGATATCATTTCCATCAGTACATACCTGCCTGAGCAGACTGCATAACTTCAGAGAGCCTGTTTTCAGAAAATACACCTTGTTTCTTGAAAATGACTTTCCCAAGGGGTGATACTTTGTGCTATACAGTCATCCTGAGCTGCAGTTTCAGCTTTATGGCATTTCAGCAGTGAGATAATGAGCATAAGCATTGATTCATGTCCTGCTTCAGTACTTCAAATACATGGATTACGGATGGGTGTAAAATAGGATAATACAATCAGGATTTAGAAGCAAATATGTTCACTTAAAGTCAAAATACTGCGGCTACTAATCATGTCTTGTTGACAGAACTGGACACTACTGTTTTTCTTAACAGCAGAACTAATAAGCTCATCAAAGAAGTCAAGCCAGGGGAGGAAAAAGGCACCAACTCCCATTCTAGAAAGCCTTACTCTAATAGTTTTGACTGTATGCTAAAAATCGATTTTCCCTCGTCATAGTATTTTACTTACCACAAGATGGCACTGTTTTTTATTTCTTTATTCTCAGCTGGAACAGTCTGCAGTCCTCTCGTGTTTCATCACGGTCTCTAAAGAGAAAACGAACAAATAGCAATTGTAATTAGCACACATTTATTTCATATATCCGTTTGTTTGGATCCCTGCTCTCTTTATAACAGAGTGGAAGAATCTGGGGGTAGTGGCTTGCAATGTTTATTGCTTGCAGATATTATTTCCTTTTCAGATTGTAAGATGCTTCACAGCCCACCAGAACAATTTGAATTTTTAGATTTAGCTTACGTTGGGTCCACTAAATCAAAGAGCTGGTTGAGATGTGAGACCAATCTAAACATTCTCCTAAAAACATGGTAAATATTTGGATGGACAGGATTTGAGTTTTCAATTCATAGTGAATTAAGGTAAGATGCCAAAAAAATTCTATACAGCATTTCATACAGTTCTACTATAGTAGTGTCTCTTTCATTGTCTATCTGGAAATAGTTTGCATTAAATAAATCTATAAATATAATGTTACTGAGTAGATGCTACTAAACATTCCCATAATAGACTAGTGGTGCCTACGAGGACAGGGGGATTTACAGAGATCCATATTTATGTAAATAAAGAGACTTTCATTAGCTGAAATAGGAGATGATAAAAAAATGATTTCTATCTTAGTTTATATTCAAAATGTTAGCAGTCATTCTGTTTATATGGCTTTATCATGATGCTGTTATGAATGGGAGATTTTGTTATCCCAAAGCATGATTTCTGCAGAATTCAGGCTCTAGGAAAGCTTACCAAACAACTGTTCTTTGAAAAAGTTGATTTGTGCTTCTGTTGAGAATCTGTACTAGTGACTTGCTGAAAGTAGTAAAGACCCCTCCTTCTACAGTATCCCCAGAAAGTATCCAGTGTTTGTTTTCTCTCTTGTGAAAGAACATCTGTTGTGAGCGGTATGAGCTATCTTCTGGGTCTGACCCACCTCTAGTTACTCTTTTAATAACCCAAGTCAGTATGCACAGTAAGTAGGACATGCATGGGTCTCCTTTCCACATAATGGATAGGCAGCAGTAACCTTGCATCTGCTCTTGTGTTAGTCTGTCACTCACAATCAGGGGTTACTTGATGCCTAAAATAATTCCTCCCTTGACAACTAATTCATCTGGGAAGAAAAAAGACTCCATCCAGATGGTGGGAATCTCACAGGCTTTTTTTTTTTTTTTTTTTTTTTTTTAATGGCAAGCCTCTACTTTTTAATAGACACTCAAGAAGTTATATAACGTTTTTGGTACTGTCATGTGCTATTATCAGCTTTTAAATATGTATTCAGCATTCAGAAAATAAATCCTTCCCTGACCTGGCAGAATACTTCTCTAAAAATGTGTGCTGCTACAACATTCTACAAAAGTAAGTTTTAATACCAAATATTGTATGTTTTTCTTGATGTACAAATATGAGACAGAGAAGGGTGGTACAGTGGGGTAAGGAACAGGACAAATGTTTTTCACCTGATGCAATGTCAATTTGCTGAGAATTTTGGTGAGTGTCACCATCTGCACACTCTTGCTAGTTCATAAGCAAAAAAAGTAGTGGTTTTAGTCCCGACACAAAGCAGTTGTCTCTGTGGTAAAGCCTAACACTATTGGAAATGAAGAAGGATTGCAATATGTAGCTGAGGAAATGAATGTATAATATAAATATAATATTCTTGAAAAGATGACTAATTTCCTTACCTTCAGAAATCAGTCTTCAATAAACATCTGTTATGTCTGTTGGGAAACCAACACAGTTTTACCCCACAAAGGGGGTTGTCAGTGTAATTGATTTTCTATTGTTCTCTTGTAAAAGTAGAGGACATCAGCCAGCACGACAGTTGCAATATTATTTTTCATAAATTTAGGTTTCTCGCCTTGGATTGAACCAGACTCTCATAAGAAACTCAACTCTTGTGACTTTTGAAAAGTGAGTTTCTTGACTACGTGTTTGGAAAAAGATTCAAGGCTTGGAGGTCAAAATACAAACAAAAAGGTATCTATATTTGCCATTGAAAAGCATTTGGGGAAAAAAAAAAAACATTTGCTGAATATCTGAGGTTGGAAATAGTGACATTGTATATCAACCTGCTCCCTCGCATTAGAACCAGAAGTGATCACAGAATACACCCTGTGGACAAGAGACGGACCAGCAGCTGCCCTTGCAGACATCACCAAGGTCCCAGAGCTCACATGGCTTTTTGGTGGTGTCTCAGGGAAAATGTATAAAAGAAAGGGCAAAAACACTGCAAAAGGCAGGCATAGGAGGGAAAAAAAATAAGAAGCAGTGGGGTGAAGGCTGAGGTCAGAGAAAAAGGAGGATAATGAAGTGCTCCAAGGCAAAGCATGAACCTGCTTTGAAGAAGCCCATGCTGGAGCAAGAGAACAGTGTGAGGAGGAAGGAGAGGCAGAAAGGAACTGTTGTGGACCCATCGCACCTTACATTCATTGAAACAGGAATTAGGAATGAAGTGGGAAAGGATGTGGGGGGAGATCTGTCTTCAATTTTTGTTTCTCAAAAAAGCCAAAGCTCTTTCAATTGGCAAAAAATTAATTTTCTCCAAGTGACAAATTGGTAAATAATTGCTGGACAGTAACTAGTAATTTCCTTGTCTTTATCTATGCCACAAGCTTTTTCATCCTATTTCTGCCCCCACATGCCCTCATGAGGAAGAGGAGTGAGAGAGCAGCTGAATGGGAGGCCATCCGCTGGATCATCTCCCCACATGTAGACATGTAATGGAGCCTCTTGCTCTGAAGAACCTCCCTGAAAACAAAACTAATGAGGAGGACAAAAAACAAAGATGTGTAATTTTAGGGAAAAAAAAATGAAGTGAAGGCACAGAAGTATTGTATGTTTTGAAGAGTTACATGAGGCATCTGCTAGGGAGAAGAGACCCAGCTCAACACCTTGACATTCAAGGATGGCACTGTAGGCTACCGCCTACCTTTCTTCTCATATCAGGGCTGAAGTATTTAATGAAAATGCTGTTTTCTTGCATTTTGACCAGTTGGCTAGCACTTTATACTCTAAGCTGTAGGCAACAACAGGCATCGAATTTGCCCTGAAAAAATGCTGTGGTATTTCCATCTGTCAGTAACAGATTAAAAAAAGATTGTGTGGATTCTTCATAAACAACCCTAAACCTTCACCTATGCTATTTATATCTAAACTAAAGAAGATCTAGTGATTGATAGCTGGACTCCTATGCCAACTACTTACCAAAAGACTGACAAAATAAATTTGATGAAATCTGTACATCTCTGAAGGGACCATGAGCAAGACTGAATTCTCGGTCTTCACTGTCTTTTCTTAAACCCTGCTAAAACTCCACACTGTTATAGAGTTTCAAATTAATACATCAATATAATAGTTTGAAATCTATTTTCTAGTGACTCATGAACTTTGAGAATGAGTATTTCTTTTGCATGAACGTTACCAAATCTGTATTAAACACTAGCTTATTTGTTTTTAGGGCTTATTTTTCTGCTTCAAATGCTATCCTTAGATTTCATGGCAAACGGGCATTGGAATAGCAAATAACATTTATCTGTGATTGACAAAAAACTGCTAGTAAGGATATTATTTCTTTAAAAGAAGAAAAAGTAATAATATTATGTCTTAATAAATTAGTCTAGAAACATTATTTCATTTCATGTCTTAATAAATTAGTCTCGAAACATTATTTCATTTCATCTTTCTTTTTTTCTTCCCCTCTCCAAAATATAATGAAGGTCAAACAGATGCTGTATGGAAATTAAGCACAAATGCATATATTTCTGATTAATAGGACTTGTAGTGAAGCAAGGTTAATTGGTCAGACATAAAACTGAAAGTAAAATTCTACAGTAGCAAAGAAAAGCTGAAAAGCTTAAATAGAGTGATTTTCCCTATTGACAAAAATTGTGCTGTCACATGCTTGGTGTACCAAAGTGAACAATTGCATGTAGTGCCTTCCACTATGAAGAATATTTTGAAACTGAAATCAAATATGATTTGATTTGTGTTGATATTATCTCATAAATATAAATCTCATTTAATGTGAATTTCCTTTCCTGCTCTAATCACCACGGCAAAAAGTTTAATTGTTTTTTTCCCAGGGATGAACTTCAGATAAATTAATGATGACTATGACTGGTAATTTAACATTACTTTCTTTTTTCTTTTCTCATCTCTTCTTTATTCTGAATTCTAGACATGAGTATCAACATTGATGTTTACATTTATATAGATGGGAAAATGGAAATAAATATTTCTGGGAAATCATCTGTGCTCTGCAGAGCAAGAAGAGCCCTGGGTACAAAGCCCCATTGGTCCTAGAAAAGCCCTGCCTGATTGACATTTTGAAACCACTGTGAACCAATAAACTAATGCTTGAAAGTTTTTAAAGTGCTTATAATTTATTATTTTTTACACTAGATGCTTGATCTCAGGGATATCCCTAAACTACATCACAAAATCATCCAAAACCATTCCAACTTGGGAGAGGAAGGAAAGGGAAGTTATAACATTCTTGGGGTTGTAATGGACTTGGATAAAAACAAGAGCTGTGCATGCATGCACCATGCACTTTGTCATCTTCTCTGGCAACAGTGAATTAATTCTGCTTACTTTTTAACAAAAGCCAAAGCACTGAATTGCCTGCTGGGTGAACTTCTTTGAGCAGAGCTTGTTGTACTATTGAAGTTTTTTCTCGTATGTCTGTTCTTTTAGACTGGTACAGTGAGAAGCTGACTCTTAACTTCTGAAACTCCTCAGGATTTGAAGGCAAGGAAGTTGGTCTCCCACTCCCAATTCATGAATTAGGTCAGACTATGAGAGATAATATATAGCAAGTCTCAAATCCTCATCTGTAGCGATCAAAAAGCCAATTAATTTAGTTTAATACATAAAAATCTTGCTCCTTTATCTAAGAAATCTACCAGTGCCCTATCTTGGTAAAACCATATCTTGCTTTTTCTGTATTTCAGATAACTTAGTTTTTGTAAAATAATATTTTGTATATTTAGATTAGCTCCAAATTCTCTTCTAAATGCAGCTTGAAAGATCTGAGTAATGCATGAGTAATACATATGAGGCAAAGCAAACTCTGAAATAAATATGAAGAGACACTAGGAAACTTTCTGGTAAGCCAAAAGGAGAAGTAGGCTCACTTACAGAAGAAACAATCTTTTTTAATGGAAAAATGATGAAAAAAAATAATACCAAACAAGATCAGAGCCAGCCCTGTAAATCAATGCATCTTGCTTGTTGATTTACAACCTGATTAAGATCGACCATTTTCATCAGTACTCCATTTCCACCCTACTTAAGTGCACTATCAATTATGTTACCCTGCCTTCTTGTGAAGGAGAGTGAAGGGTATTCTAAACATGTTGTGTTATTTTATCCACATTCTTGTTTCTAAGATAATTTTGAAGATTTCTAATCTCTATCATAAAAGTATTAAAAAAGTATTAAAAAGTAATATTTGAATCCAATGTCTGTTTCCACAAGTGCTTTTCTTTTGTACTGACATTAATAATTAAGTGATTTCTCTTTAAACTTTCTGTAAATGTCTTTTACACTGTAACAAGGGAAGAAATAAGGAACCGATGGGGAAAGGTAAGGTCAGTGCACCAGATTCTTTCACGTAAGGGTTTTTTAAGCAGGATCAAACTAGCTATTACGGCTTGATTTATTTTTTATTTTGGCAGTAACTCTGTAAGTGAGCCTTTGTGTTAAAATGCCTGTATGGAGCTGCCCCTACACACCATTTGTTGCATCAAAGACTTTCAGTTTACAGCTATCTCGTAGCACCTGGATGCTACAAGGTTTGCAGTTCTCACATTTTCTGAAAGTCAATGAACTATAAAATAATTAGCACAGAATCAGGTCATTTAACTTGAATCAATTTATGACACTGTGTTTTCTCAGTGCTGGCTCCATCACATACGTCAGCACTGCGCGGGCAGTCCCATTTGTACCACCTTAAAATTGAATTGATCATACATTAGTTAACAGTTATTCACACATTGCCCTGTGGAATAATTTCACAAAAAGCTGTATAACTGAGGAGATGAAAAGGAGTTGGATTTCACTGCTAGTTTAATACGTGCAGCTGTTTCACCCTGACATCCCTTTGCTAAATGTTCAGGAAACTCCATGCCCTAACACATCATTAAAAGGCAAAAAAGAATTCCTAATTCTCCTGAGCATCTCAAATCCAGATAAGAGTGATAGCCCAAAATATATCATCTGCATTAAGTCCCATGTAGCTATCACTTAAAAAGAAAACTTCCATAAACTACTTCCGAAGGATAGGAATTCTAAGAAAACTGGACTAGAGATTTAGTTGAACAATAATATTATAATCTGGGGCTAAGACTAGCAGAGTCTGAATCCAGAAGTTCAGTTGGCAGCAGTAGAGCCACGCTTGCAAATCTTGTACTGTATCATCAAAGTACAGACTTTGCTATCCTTGGAGATTCTGCTTAGCCTTTGCATGCTGCCAAGGGCTAGGTGTGCAACTAAATTACTATCTCTTGGATTAGAAACTATCAGAAAATATGCTCTAAAAAATACGTTAGTGATTTTGAAGTTCTGGTGTTAAAAGAAAAGAAAAAAAAAGAAAACCTCCAAACATTACTTTATTGATTCACAGTGGTTTCAAAATATCAGCCAGGCAGGCTTTTTCAAAGCAGGAGGAAAAGAGCAGCCAGAGGGAGAAACCACGTGGATTTAGAGAAGCCACGTAATCAGTGGGCATGCCCTTCAACCTGATGATTTTAACTAGCAGTGCTAACTACTCGACTTAATGAAGTTTTTCCAAGGAGGAAGGGCACCTTGTTAGTGTAGTGTCTTTGTCCAAGAATATACAGGATGTTTAGCAAGTCCCTTTAAAACTGAGAAGGGAGATGAAACGGTGCTTAATGGTGATGAAAGTCTCATCAGCATGAACTGATATTGCTGTGCAAATACAAATTTTTTTCCTCTCTCTCCATTTTATCCAGGCAATTCTTAAAACTGAAAAAGAAATAAGACCTCTCCTGGCTTCTAACTTTAGTATTAATAGTGCTGATGCTGCATCATTAGTGGTAAAATACTGGATTCATAATCCTGAAAGCAGTGGTTGTAACATAACATTTCCTTGTTATTCGGAGTATAAAACTGAAACTGACCAAGTAGTTCATATAAAGCTTTTAACTTTTACGTGGGAGAGGGGATGAGGAAACTTGCCATGTTAAAGTGCATAAATTCACCTCTGAGTTCCAGACATGGGACGGAAGACCAAACAATTCTTTATGTGCACAGATATATGTTCAAGTGGAAAGGTTGACTGTGTGCTTTAATCTTGACTAAAATGGTGACTCAGTCATGACCCAGCTGCATACATGAGTGAATTGCTACTGCTATTCAGCCATTAATTTTGGCTAAATCATTTTACAAGAATGAGGGGTCTTGGCTACCCTTTCAGATTTGTTAAGGTTCCACTGTAAGAACTAGGTTACTTCAAATTTTCCCAGAAGATGTTGTCTTCTTTCTTGTACCAGCTAAGTAGTATTTAAGTACCTTGGAGAACTAAAGCATATGATCACTCACTGAAGAAGAATATTTTTATAGAAACTTTTCCTCATGCTCATAAAAATTGCTGACACAGTAAAAATAACTGAAAACAGTCTGTAAGCTCCTTGTAATTTAATTTATATGTCTGAAGGTGTGAAGTCTCTATGGTCAGTGCAAGGGCTAGCTCTGGTATTTGCCAGTGTTGCTTTTTGTCTAATCAAATGTGGTTGATAATGGGATTCCACTGAATTTCATGACATTAGCAGTCAGTGGTACAAAATAATGTGGAAATATGTGTTAGCATACAAATTTCATGTTCTGCTCCTTCTCTCTACAAAACTCGTTTATCCTCATGCTGCTGTAAAATCTTCAGCGCTGTTTCTTCCAGTGCATATTGCTCTAATTTGAAAGAGATTCTTAATAGCAACCTCTGAACCAGTCTGCTCTCATGTATTGGCAGATTTCTTATTGCTCATATGGTTCAAAACATTGCCTCATTGCCAGATTTTTCGTAAGACCAGGAATTGACAGAACAGTACCTTTCTCTTTTTTCTCAGTTTGTCATCCATGCAATTTATAGTGATATAAATAAGTTCTCAATGTGAGGGTCAAAGAAACTGTACAGTGAGAATGAATAAGTAGATTTGTACAGCAATCTAGGGAGTGTGGCTGGTTAACGTCTACTTATTTTAGTATTAACTTCTTCAGTTGTTTTATATTTAGATTTCACAATAATGTTTAGAATTTTCATACTGATAAGTGAGAAATATATTTCTCAAGAAGTTGTTGGAGAGGCAATAACTTAATTCCTCAAACTTGCAGACCTCTAGTCAATCAAAATGCATTTTCAAGATAGCCAAAATCTCCAGTCTACTTCGATAGTTTTATTACATGATTTTCATGCTGGTGGTCACACTTGAATTCTTGCCCTACACTACATAAAAAGTTGCTTCTCTAGGTATGATGCTGCAGCTTCAACCATTCCTCTAAAAAGTTCATTCTAAATATAATTCTGCTAAAAAGTCTTATTTTGATACCTGCTAGAGGGATAGATGGACTTAAGCTTAAAAGGGTTTAAAGTAAACAAGCAAAGTAATACATGCTTAACAGCATTTGCTGGTTTTGGTCCAAGCACTTCTGCTGCTCTGCAGCAATATTACGTTGTTAAACTGCTAGAGTTTGAGTGAAACTATGGGCATCTCATGTGACTCTGCTCACTTTGCTCTGGTTCAAACTATTTATTATGAATTTCAAATTCAGAACTGCTGCTGTGAGATGTTTTGGACACTACATGGAACCTATAAGTTTTGCAGCATTATGCTCTCTCAACATGGTGATTTACTGCAATTTTTTAAGTTTATTTTGAACCTTATTGTTAGGAAATATAAATGCAAAAGAAATTTCGATATTATTTTTTTCAGAGCTATTAGCACAGCTCCCCAGCACTGAAGACTGGAGCAATAGAAACAGACCTCCTGAAAATATTTTACCACATTATTTTGAGGCTACAGATAAATTATATGATCACAAAATGAAGAAATGATACCCATATGCTTGCAATTTAATTTTAGGTGCTCTGTACCGGTATATGTAAGTGCCTGTTACCTTTGTAATGGAATGTATAGCTGAGAATCTGTTCCCTCCAGCTTCCTGCAGCACTCTCCTGCAGCCTTTGTAGCACTGTCCTCTCGTAGGCTTCGTGGACTGGCAGAGATCTAAGAAAATGCCTGAAAGAGGAGAGGAATGCTGTCAGAACTTTTCAGGATAGATCTGAGTTGTAAAGGGGCACTGTAGCAAAATATGAATCAAAGGAAGTCAATAGGTGAGAAGAGATGCTTCTGAAAGCAATACAGAACTCAACTGTTCTGTATTTTGGCTTCCTCTTCCAAGAAGCAAGTAGGCCTGAGACAGAGCCCAGCTCTTGTCCTTGTGTAAATCATGAGGAAAAAATGCTAAGAGCATGACTTGTGTAAGCAAGCTCAGAATCATCACTGGCTTCCCAAAGCAAACCCTGGTGCTATAGATCAGGTTTACAGGCTGTCATAGGAGTCTTTCCTGAGAGCATAAGTTGGTCAGTTTCTGAGCCAACACCGAAGGGTATAAGGTTATAACAGTTAACATACACTTGAATGGCAGAGCACCATGGGTCATTGGTAAAATGGAAGGCTTAGCAATGGATCAAATTGTATCTGCCAAGTATATTTATCTTTCTGCTTGCTAAGTGTTAAAGAGTCCTGGTGACACTGATAAGGGAACTGTTACTTATATTTGCAAAGCCTAAATACATCGGGTCACGACCCTGATTGGATAAGTGGTAGCTAACTCTTATGGCTTCCTAACAATAGAGAAAAATTACAGCACTGGTAATTGGGCACCAGCTATGGAGGAAAATGTGAATGGCAATAAGTACAAAGGCAGATTATGACTTTCTGACTCCTTGGCATGCTTTAGGGAGTATATGGACCATGCCACTTTAGTCTGATCTTCACAAAGGAATTGTCTTTGAACAAGCCGAGACTGACAGCTTTTTTCTGACTCTGTGTGAGGTTTAAGTCTGGGACCTGGCACTCATGTCACTGGTGCATGACAAAAAGTAGAGAAGTAACACTTTAGAAACACAGTAGGCCTTCTGCTGCTTCTTTTGTTGCCTGGACAGTCCAGTGTTCTTTCGTATCACAAAAATACAATAAAGGTGCTAGCCATCGATTTGGTCAAGGATGAAACTGGCATAACAGACCTGCAATGGTGCAGAACTAATCTGCAGCCAGTCCTTTCCTGTGTGATAAGCCCACACCCAAGTAACCTAATCTGCAATGGGAAATCACACACACAAAAAGTGCCCAGCATTTAGTGATGGCCTGAATTTTTTCACAGTCATTTGAAGGTTTCCATTGGGGTCCTCTAGTCATTTGATGTGGCAATTAGCAAGAGGACTTTTGTACTCCAAGGAGATGAAACGGCCCTCTCCAATAATTATTTTATGCCTTGAAGAGAAAAAAAAAAAAAAAGCCCAAGGAATAGATAACATTGTTACATCAAACAGCAAATGGGTTGTGCTTCTAGCTACTTATTTTCTTTTATTAAAGCAAAGTGCCACTTTTCCCATGAGAAAAATCCTTGAAATTATAAACCTAAATTTCCCCATATTGTCTCTAGACTATCTACATTTTTATCTAGGTTTCCAGTGCAGTCTGTTTGCTTTGATCCTGCAGCATTTTATAATTCTTATTTGCTTTTAAAACTCTTCATGAAATATTAGCAAAGTGAAGGGGGAAAGTATTAGCACCATACGTAAAATCTTGTTTTCTTCCCATTAGAAACAAACACACCGAAAGATAAAGAGACAGATTTCTTACTTCATATGCTTAAGAACTCACATACATCAATCAATAATTTTATGCAAGATAGAAGAGTTTGATTTCTTCACAGTCAGTATAATCTGCTCAGGAAAAGCTGCATACGAAATGCTGTTGCTGACTTCATTCACATCATGAGTTCCCAGTTACAAGAAGACTGTTTGCAGGTGAGGGAATTAAGGCTTGGAGATAGCTCCCTAGGAAGAACAGCATAAGCTGATGTCAGAACCTATTGGTTCTTTTGCACTATTTTGATAATTAAGTGAAGCCCATCAGACTTCTGGTTAGAGAAATTTACTTATTTCTTTGTTCGCACCCTGCCTTTCTTTGTAGTTGAGCAAAGATATAGTGTTGTAGACAAAAGCAAAAACATTTTACAAAGAATTAATAAAAACGTATCTAAGCAAGTTTAAATTTTTAACAGCTAACTTCTATTCTATTCTTTAGTTTATTGAGGCACCCATACATGAAACCGAAGATTCTTTCACCAGCAGCGCAATTTCTTTTGCAGGACATTAGACACGTATTGATTTGTCTGGGATTAAATCAGAATGGTTCTATTTCCTTCTGGACTTATTTTTCAGTCATTTTAACTGATGAAATTACATGATTCTTTTACACTGAAACATTCCTTAGCAAATGTGTTGTCTTCTGCATCCAATTTGCTCTCTAAAGAAAGGGGTTAGGTCTAGTTGGGCAGACATACGCTGTTGCTACACATATTTAACTTTTCACCCACACTATAAAAAATCCGTAACTCATCCAGCATGCTGTTATCAGCATTTAGTCCTAATGAAAGAAAGCATTTTTTAAAGGAAGAACGAGTGGGCCTAATTATGTTCTCACTTAAGCTGAGTGCAAAGGAGATCAGAATCAGATTCAATTTTTTTTTTTTTTCTTTTCTTTTCTTCTTCCAGAAAGACAGAAGGAATAAGCTTATCAGCTTCACTGGTAGTTGGCCTTCCAGTTGGCATTTTCATTATACAAAATGGACATATTTTTCCACTCCCAAGAAATTATGAAACATATATGTTACAGATTGTATGTCATAGCTCCACTCCTTTGACTGAGTCACAAAATGTTTTCTTTCATTGATGATGAGCTTTTCTACAGGGAAGGTAATGGACTATCTGTGTTGTCTGGAGCTGGATGAATACATTGCACATCACTATTTTTTCACCAAGTTCCATCTTGCTTTTGTGGATCAGTTTTATTGCCTGTATGGTTTGATGGGCAGCTGGTAAATTGATCACAAGCCATAACTTGCTAATAGTTGAGAGCCATAATTTAAGCTGAGTTGTTAGAACCTTTCTATATACCACCTAGACAGCTTATGATCATCATTTTTGTGCAAGAACTGACATTTATTGATTCAACTATCACAGCTTGAGGCGATTTTCATTATTTACTTAAAAATTGTAAATATTTCTACCTGTGAACACTCAGAGCAATCCAAAGGAACTGGAACAGAGTTGATTTACTTTTGTGTCAATGTTCAAATAAATATTTACAGAAATGTACTGCTCACATGCTCAGTTTTTTCACAGTAAAGAGTAATCCAGATGATACGTACCTCAGTCCAGGCAAGCAACAACAGACCCAGCAAAGCACATGGAGATCATACAGTGTTTAAACATGCAGGAACAGCTGGCATTGTCTTACACGCCTGACAGACATTAGGAGAATTACATTACCTATCAAGTATTAACCTGGGGAACCAATGGAGTACTTCAAATGCTTTTGCACAGAAAAAGCACAGGAGAAGAGAGATTTCGGAACAGCAGAACAAAAATGATAGGTTGTGTCCTTGGGTCCAAAAGGAAATAATGGATAAAGATGGGTAAAGCAATGTGAGTTTGGAGATGGCTGACAAATGAAAAGAGGAGGTAAGCATATTTTGCATACAGCTGTCTGCCTGTTAGCTGTACATGGGGCAGGTTGATATGGGTCCAATTCTCCATCCAAAGCCCTGGTCAGTGCCCTTCTCTTCTTTGTTCCACTCCACATACCTTATTCTGCTACATACTTGCACCCCAGACATATGCTGACTTGTGTCCATATGCTATAGATATGTCCTATTAACTCTGATTGAAGAATATCTTGATTTCCTTTCTTTTGCATTTTACCCCCGGGAATAACTGCTTATATAATAATTATTACTAAACTATGATAGAAAGAAACCATCAAGGTAGCTTTCTTGTCAGGAAGAGCTCCAGAGAAGATGTAAGTGATCCTAGCAGAAATCACAGATGGACACAGACTTCATCTCAGTGTGGAGACAAGGTCAGGGCTAAGAACAATTTGCAAAAATGGACAACAGGCTAAACGACAGGAAGGTTAAATCTTCACAGCTTCACTCTCACCAGTAAAACCCAAAGAGAAGCTATGATTTGAACCAACTACCCAAGTGTGGTTTAGCAGCACTTGTATATTAGACCATCCCTACACCACATCCAACTCCCTACATGGGAGTCAGGTGCGGCTATCTGCCAGGAGTTTGCTTGTATCGGAGAGACAAGCACACAGTTAGTGAAGGAATATATTTCTTTCGTTCATGCAGTGGCTTCACTCCACAAGTCAGTGTAAAGAGTATCAGATGTGAAGGCACTATGGACCCATCTGCCTTTTGACAATTCCAGATGCTCTTAGGCATGCTGATCCCTAGAATAAATGGGGGGGGGGAACAAAACAGTGCTCTGATCTTCACAAATTTTTCATCTTTGTACTACCAATTTCTGATTACAACACACAAAATATGTGGTCTGTATGAAAGATGAACAATCTTTAAAGCATCCATCATTTCCTACTACTTTGAATACAAATGCTACTGAATGCACGAGTAAGAGGCCTTCTTTGGGGGGAGAAGAGTCCCTTCCATTTGTCAAAGAAATTCCCAAGCACCTTGCAATAGTTGACCTGCTTTCATGGGGAAGAGATGCAAAGTCCAAACTGTATTGCTGAAAACAGATGGAGTACTGCACTTAAGTACAATCGCAGGAGTGTCTAGAAAGATAAGGATGTAGCACAAGCAGAGGACTGAAGGTCGAAGAGAACAGATTTTCCCAAATAAGCTTGCATTAGGAGTAAATGAACATAAATAATAACAACATATAAATATGAAATACATTGGAAATCAACTTCGGGTCTCAAGAGGATCTGGAGAAACCCACTATGTCAGCTGTGCCCACGCTTACAGCCCATTACCCATCTATCCTGCTGGAAAACTTGATAACAGCTCATGGCATTGTACTAGTTAGAATGCTTCGGGATAGTGGAGCAGCCACGATCACACGGCATATGGCAGTTATCCGAATATTTATGCAGACATCTCTGTGGTTTTGGTCTGTCTTAAGCTAGGCTGTTGCTGCAACAACAAATAAAATATAGTACAAATAACTTTGACGCATTCATGCAAAAACAACTACGATTAATCTCCATCTGCCAATATAGAAGAAGTGAAAATGTTAACTCACCATGATCCTATGATGACTTTTGCTGAAATGGAGGTGTGTTCCTTAGAGCAGAATGAAGCCACTGATTCAGAAAGACACTTCAGAGTGTATCTTGTTGGCAGCTTGCTTTCCTGTCTCATTGACTTCAATACGTTTCAGACTGTAGCTAAAGTATTTAACTGAGATATATATCTTTAAAATTCTTTTTTAAGGCCTTAGTTACGTGGGAATGTTGCAGTGGTTTGACCTAGGATATGAATTTAATTGATTTAGATAAATCAGTGCAAACTCTTGTGGGAATATATTCATTTTAGAGTAAAAAGAAAAGCTATTAGTTTGTCTTAAATTAGCTTAGTTTTAAATTAAATTAAATTAATCTACTTACCTAATTATTTAGCCAAGCCTTAAAACCAAGATTTAAAATCTGACTGAAGTTAAACCAATGCACTTTCCCTGTAGACATCAGACTTTTGACCCTGTTGCTTGAATTATGTAGTCTTCATTCTTGATTAAAATGATTCTGTAGTCATCACACAGAGTGGGTGTGGAGAGACGCCGGCAGCAGTACATGTGTTCCCTAGAGTCCTTTAACAATAAAAGCCAGATTCCTTTGGTTTGACCTATGAAATAGATGTCTTCTTGTGTACTTCTAAAAACATGTTTGCAGTCTGCTCTGGGGATATACATGTACATATGTTCTTTTAACTACCAGAGATGCTGTAAAAAACATCAGAGTTTAGGAAATGACAGAGTGAGTGGGTGGCAAGAAAGGATCACATAATCCTCCAAGAGAGTCTTTCGGGTAGAGACTAATTTCAGGATGTGAATAGCAGCTGTGGGTTATCACTGCTTATAGCGCATCAGAATTCTTACAAATCTTCAGACTGGGACAACATGACTGAGAATTTGTAGGGGCTTTAATGCAGGCTCAGAATAGCACCCTCTCTAATGCCTCCCTGCCGTCATCCTCCCCAGCTCGGTGTCTTTAAGGAAAGCAATGGTCAAAGGAGTCTCATGCTTCACCTCATAGCATTTTACATCACAATTTTTACAGCAGTAAAGCCAGTCTGGAAATGTTTCCTTCAAATGTCACTTGGAAATGTCTCTCCCATTGATCAAGGCAAAAGGATCCAGATTTTGTTGCTAAGGGACCCAGTCTTTTCCAGGGTGCTGATACTTTTCAGTGCAGAAACACACATGGTATACATATATAGCCAAAGATGATCCCAGTATTTAAATTTGCGAAAGAAAGAAAACCACAGTCAGCCCTCCTGAGTCTAAATGGTCTACAAGCTTCTATTGCTAACACTCACCACTATCCAAGCAAGCTGCCTGTGGGGGAGCATGAGAGGAGGACAGCTGGAGATGGCAGTAGCATCACTGAGTTTCACAGTCTGCTTTTGCTGCTCTGGTTCGGCACCTGTGAAAAGACAAAAATCCTAAATCCCAAGGCAGGCCTGTCTCAGCAGCACTTATCACAGCAGATGTCCAGGAGGATTAATAAATATATGAATGGCTACTCCATATGCATACATACTATGGACATTCTCGTGATGTTCACACAGGTTCTGATGTTCCCTTGCCTTCGAAAATGACTCTTGCTACCTCACCTGCAGTCCCACATTATTAATCTTTTAAATGCCCAGGTAACAAACTGAATGAATATGAACTGAGACCCAAATACAATGGAGATTCAAACCAAAAGATTAAGGGGAAATTGTATTTTCTCTGGTTCAAGTCTCTAATGCCAATTGGATTAATTGGGAGATTAATCCAAGATACTAAACACTGATATGACTCAATTATGCATGGTATAATAGGATGCCATTCAGTTCCTTGGCAATTTTGTTCCCTCCCCATGGGGCAGTCTTGTCTGTTTAGATCATAAGCTCTTAGGGACATGAGCTTGCTACTGCTAGCGTCTAGCACAATAGTAGTCCTTTCACAGCTGGTCCCTTGGCAATCCAACAAGATTACATTTACTATCAGTATTGTTCAGTGGGAATTCTTCCATTAACTTTAACTGGAATTAGAGAAGGCTCATAAATGCTTTGAAATATATTACTCATAATGCTGAAGTAGAGATGTGCTTCAGTATGTTTTTTCATGGAATGTCAAAGGTCAGAAGCAGGTTCAATCCTAGACATTGTTCCAGTCTCCAACTTTTGACATTCTGCAAAGCAATCTTTTGGACTGCTTTTTTCAGGCTTTCACAACGATCTGGCAGAAGATGCATGTGACATTAGGCCGATGCCACCTTTTCTCTTCAGGAAACTCAATATTTTTATCCAGGTGTTTTTTAAGACAAATTGTAACAAATTTTATCTGCTCATATTCCTTTTTAATACCAAAACTGAGAAATGTTAAATTTAAACACTGTTCAAATGATTGCAAAAGCAGTTTAGACACATATTTCAATTAAACACTGAGTGAAGTCTTGTGAAATCGGGTTCACAGTTAAGCCGAGAGCAATCAATGCAGCAGGCATAAAATGTTTACTGTTACTCTTCTTGCAATATTATTTGCTTAAGGAGAGAAAAGGATGGTCCGTACTGTTTTCAGAGTAATAAGTGTGAGAAAAAATACAAGAGAAAAAAAAAATCTTTACCATTATCACTTGAATATTGGGAAAACAAAGCTTGCAGTACTTCAGGCCGGGCAAAGAGCAGCCTGTCTGCCAGCAATCTCTTGGGGAAATAATCTGGAGGGAATGTCAATTCACTGCTACATGATCTCTGGCTGAAGGAGTGTACTGGGCTCCAATTCAGATGCTAAGAAACTTAGGAAGCAGAGAACAAAAGGACCAATTTATCTTCAAAAGTCAGTATACTGATAACCCAGCTCTTCAGATTAATAGCAGATTGCTCCGTAAACAGGACTATTCCACTAAAAAGATAGTGAGTATAAAATGCTACTCAATATGTGTAAATAGACCAGAATATAATCTAAATCTAAATAAATTAATTCTGAATTATCACTATTGGATCAAAACCACTAAGCATTTTCAGACATTTTGCCTGTAGATAACTTGTAAAACCTTCTTTTGATATTCTTTAGGAGATGAAAGGCAAAGATAATATTAAACCATTTCTTAGTGTATCTAAAGATGAAAGAAAACTCCCAAAGAGTGTTCGCCAAATAGGTACTCACCATGAGCTAGGAAATTGGTGGTTCAAATGTCATGGGGAAATAGTATGTCAGTGCAAATTCTTTAGTGATCAATAAAGTATTCTGCATTCAAAACCTTCACAAAAAGGTTTCTGAGAACCTCCTCAGACTCCCCTAGGGACAATCCTTTGACATATTCATTGACACCTACTGGGGTAGTTGTCTTTCTAGTTTTGCTATAAGACAGCAATTTGCCACCTCATTATCAGTGTGATTGATGAGAACACCATCTGAAAATCTGTCACGTGATGATTGTTGGTTTGACTCCCCTAGATTGATCTCCTTAAAGACATACACTGATGTGCATGACAAAATGTTTTCTGGGGAAAGATGTCAATGACAGGTTTTTTGAAAGAAACTGCAGTTTCTGCAAAAGCAATTGACTCTTCCCTCCCTCCTCCCCACCCCTCCAACTCACCCTTTTTTCTCTCTCTTTGATATTTGTGTTTAAGAAGTAGAACATTAGACAGCTTTTGCTTTTAATGGCATTCCAAAGTTGGCTTCTCCACTGACAAATGCGGTGACTTTGACACTAAAGTGTGTTAGGCGCTTGCAGATCTCTGAACGAAAAGTTCTTGGTAAATTAGAAATGTGATCAGTGCACAAAATACCACCTCTTACTAAGAGCCCACTGAACATTACATCAGTACAGTACTCTTGAAACTTGCATAATTTCTCCCTCTCTAGCTACTTGTTGCATTTCCTTCCTCTTTCTCTTTTGTTTTTTTTACAGCTCTTCTTTGTATAAAAGCTAAGCATCCCATATTTTGAATTGTTCCCTTTTTCCTTCCCGCTGTTAGCCTCACTTGGCAGGTGCTTCAGTTCTGTTATGGGAAGGTGAGTTTGCAGCATGGTGGGAAGTCAAGAAAGATTTCCTCCTCACTAGCCTAGCAGGAGCACACAGAAAATCCCTCATTGCTGTGTCTCCATGGCTGAAGATCAGTGAAAATGTGGTTGGACACAATTCAGTGCCGAGTGCAGCAGAGCCATCCTCATCTGCAACATGCAGCCGTGAGCTCTGTGGATCCATGATGCATCCTGGCATGTGATACAGCTTTGAAATCAAAGCTCCAAAACAAGAGATTGCCTCTGTCTTGCCCATCTCTACTCCTGTTCACCAGGGTTAGACAGCCACGTCTTTCCTTCTTGGTGCTTCCTACTTTTTAAACTTATCCATCTCTACATAGCCCTGATTTAAGAAAGTGTTTCTAGTGATAACATGAAGATATGAATCAACAGGCCATCGTTGTGCTTCAGGAATGAGTTAGATGTCATACTGAAAATCAAACACAACTTGCAACCAAAGTCTTTCGATGTCAAGGCTAGTTGTTGGTCAACACTCTCACTGGCTTCTGTTACAGGCAGGATGGCTACCCACAATTTGGAGACACCTGAGAAGTAGGTCCCTGTACTCTCTAGTTGCTACCTTGAAGGTAAAGAGGATGGAAGAGGGCCCATACCATACTCTGCTCTCCAAACAGGTAATACAGTTATAGCAACTGAGGTTTAGATCCTTCTTGGAGCCAAGGGTGATCCCATGCACCTTGCTGGCACCTTGCTTGCTTGTTCATTAGCTCCCTAGTTGGTCTCATTATCAGTAGGCTGAGGCATTAGACACGGGAAGAACTTGCTTTCCAAATCTAGATTTGCAAGTTTTTGGGTTTTTTTCCCAAAGAGTATGAATTCCATTAACAAACACTACTTCATTTTTCTCAGTTTCTATATATTTATGTCCAAATAAGACTTGAGTCTTACTCTTTTCTCTCCATCCATCAGATTTTCTTTATTTTCTCCTATTTCATTCTGTTACCTTTCCAATAGGAAAGATCAACATGTTATCATAAAATCATGTAATTGTAGAATAATTAAGATTGGAAAAGACCACTAAGATCATCCATTCCAACAGTCAACAAATCAACACCATGTCCACTGAACCATGTCCCTAAGACATATAATTGTCAGCTGAGAATTGGGAGTAAATACAGATTGAATGCAGATGTTAGATAAAGGCTAACTCCTATGACCCAGAACAACACCATAAAATGCAAAATCTAGTAGATACATTTCTTTCTGAATTCTACAGACTAATCCATTAGGCTGGAATTGTCACTCAGTACAAGAATACCATACCCTTACATCACTGCCTGTTTAGTAGTATACATTTTATATTGGCTACAGTTTGGGAAAGAAATCTCAATCTGTAAAATATTCAGGGACCTGATACCTAATGAACAATAGATGAATTCTAATCCACTTCACTGAAATGACTGTTACACAAACACATCCGACTGCTTTTATAAAGATTTGAAGATAAAGATTGTACTAAAGCTCTTTAAAATACATTTTCACTAATAAAAGTTTATTCAAACATATCAAAGAAGGTCTTTGAGAGTTTTGCTCTTCAGCATAATTCTAAAAACTCTCTAGTATTCTTCGAAAAAAGCACCAGTTCTCTCATCTTCTGCCTCTGTATTTTTAAATAAGCTTCTTCAGGACAGAAACACTGCAAGATTCCGTGTAATACATCTCAACACTGCCTGGTAGTGCAGGCCTGGGAGAGGGGACTGTTCTACCCCACTAACTGTGCAGTGGGGATTTGGAATGTCATTATAAGCGTGAGAGATGACATCTTAGATGTCATAGATAGGTTGAGAAGTAGGAAAAGACCCTGAGCTGATGCATGCTGTTGCAATCGCACTGATTTGCAGTAGCTGAGACTGTTAGCCCATTGTAGTGGCGCAGTCCTGTGCCCTGTGCTAAGGCTGACTGTGGGTAAACAAAGTGCTCGGTGCCAGTGCCCAGGTGCTGTTCTCTTAGAAGGCTGCATGAGAGGCAGGGCCCATCCTCACTGAAGTACACGGGACTGGGGGCAGCTGCCAGGGCAAGGAGGGAGTGAGAAAAGAGAGGTCGGGGAGGGGAGACCCTTGCACAATGTGGAGTGACTTCAGGCAATTAAAAGGAAAACGAATGAAATTTCTGGCTGAATGCCATAGTACTCTTTTTTTCCCCCCTTCTTCGCTGCCATTAGTCCATGAAAATGGGAAGGTATGTGAGGAATTCCCCACTTTATATTCCAGCTCCCATCTATTGTATTTTAGCTATGCCAGAGCAACACTGTTATTCTCTCAGGCAGCCTGGGAAGAGTCAGGCATCTTGTCCAACAAGACTGATGACAGGGCTGAGGCTGACTGAGCTGTGGCAAAGCTTAGCAATGCAAGCTGAAAGAATCTGCTGATCGGATAGGGAAACAAG